TGTTGTCAAAGTTCTCCTCCTTCTTTCCCCCGTATGCGTCTGGGAACTTGAGCTTTACAGGCTCTTTACGGGGTCTGACCTCGCCCTCTACAGTGGCTATTGCTTTGGCACCCTCAATGGCGCCCTCATAGAGCTTCCCCACGTTATCCCTCAGTTGCCTGACTTCACCCCCAATGTGGGTGACGATCTCGCGCGCAAAGTCTTTGAATCCCGACCGCATGGCACTCAGGGCTACCTCTTCGCTCCAACTCGCTTGGCGCTCCTCCACCCATGCTTTGCTCAACACCTCTAGGTAGCATAACACCTCATCCCATTTGGCCTTATCGTCTGCCTGGGCCTCCACTTCGTTTCTACACTCCTGCACCTTCGCCACTTTTGCGGTCAATTTGTTCACTTCCTCTCTCCTCCTCTTCTTCTCCCTCTTCATCCTTAACTTCCACGCCAACTTCTGCTCCTCCTCCCTTTCTCGCCGTTCCATAGGATCTTTCATTGCTACTAGCTCACTGGCTAGTGCATCCCTCTCCTCCTGAGTCACATAAGACTCTGCCTCCTCTTCTTCTCCCAACGATAAATTAGCGACCCACTCTCTTATCTTCTTTTCCATCTCGGCATCTGTATCCCTCTTCGTGCCACTACTCCCCTCTCTGCTTTCAATCCTCATTCTCTCTTTCTCTTCTTCTGCTGCTACTTCTGCTTCAACAGCCTTTCTCCTCTCTTCCTCTTCCTGTTAAACTCTCTTCATCTCCTCCTCTAACTTCTTCATCTTTGCCACCTGCTCCTTTGCGATAGCCTTTAGCTTCGCCTGCTTCTCGAGCTCTTCCTCTCCTTGTTTTCTTTCACTAGGGCGGCCATCTTCTCTTGCTGCTCCTTGGTGTAGGGGCTAGTGTCTTTCCCACTACGGGTCTCAACCATGGTGATCAGTACACAAATGGATCAACGGTTCCAAACCTCACCACGTAGACTCTAACCCCTGACTGACAACCTATTGACTCAATCTAGGACTCACAAAATCCGGACAGGGATCCTGCCAACTAGGGTCTCTAGCTTGGACCTAACTATGGTTGTCACTACTAGACCTGTTGCTGATCAGGAGGCATTTAAGGAGATCCCCCGAACTCCTCAGGAATTATTTAACGCCGTAGATAGGACGACGCGATCAGCAGGTCTCTCAAGACCTAAGACGGTCTGTTGTACAGCCCACTGCCCACAGCTCGGATTTTGAGGTCTACCGTGCCAAACCGAGCAGACCGCCGGTCAGTACCGGTCCTTGGGAGGGTTTAACCTCCGGGACAGTCGAGTCGTCAGACACAACTTTTAGCCCTACTCATCCTGTGTGGGTTTGGTCAACAAGACCCTATCCTTCATCCACAGAGTACTATCACCCAGGACAGAAGAGACTCGATGTAGAAAGAATAGACAGATAGACTGGACTCAGCGAGTACCAAGGGGTGTGTGCACATCCATAGCGCGAGCGGGAGGCTAAAGGCTTGGCGAGATGTTACCGGCTCCAGCTTGGTCAAGGTCTTTCAACGGTCTTGGTCAACGCCGATCAATGTTGCGGTCAACCCTGCGGTCAACTCTGGTCAACACCGGTCAACACCTCCGGTCATCTCCCTCGGTCAACCCTTCGGTCAGCTATGGCTGTCGGCTCCTCTTCCTCGCCAACCCTCTTCTTCCTTTCACCTACCTTGCCTCCTTTCACCCCGACTGTCTTTTTTTTTT